AATGCGGCACTCCTATGATGACATTCATCAGCCTCATTAGTCATTCTTCGGGAAGCATAGAGGGGAAAAAAACTAAAAACCTTTGTAAAAGTTACTCTCAGTCAGAGACCTGATAATGAGACACAGGATACATTTTATATATTTCAAACTTCTTGGAGATAGAAATGTTGCATCTTTTAAAAGAATGCATTAATAAAAAATTACCCTAGTTGTTTTCAGTGTTGGACAGGGACCAGGCAGAAAGGATCATGTTCTTTGGATTTCCTCTCTGAGAAGAAAGTATGCCAGTAATTGCTTTGCATCAAAGAGAGGTAACATTTTCTTAATAATGCTAGAAATTGCTAAGTATGAGGAAGTGGAGACTTTCAAGATAGCCATATTTTGAAAGTTATTTAATACTGAATAAAATGGAGAATTTGAAGAATCTTGACTTTGTTAAATAGACAATGAATTCCGAAGTGATTTCTTCTGAGTTGGAGTTCTGGAAATAAAAACAACTTGCCAATGATAGAACTTCAGAAAAGGAAAATCCCAATATTGTTTTAGTCTTAGACTGGTGGGGACTAAGAAGCATCTGATAAATAAAAACACAGATTTTGAGGAAAAATTAGTTTTGAGTTCATTTTTCCTTTTTACTGCACTAATGCTGTACCACCATCATCATCACCGTTATTATCACCAACATCACGACTACCACCACCACCACCACCATCATCATCATCAGTTAGTATTTATGGATCAGGCACTGTGCTAAGTACACATTTTGCATTGTCTCATTTAGTCCTCTCCAATGATATATCAGTATCAGCCTCATTTTATAGTTGAGATAACAAAGCTGTAATAGAAATTACATAGCTTGCCCAAGATCACACAGATGCCAAAAGGGAGAGCCAGGATTCAGTCTCAGACTGTGTGGTTCCAAAGCTCTTATTCCATGCCTCTTTTCTCTAGATTATCCCTCATGAGGAAACAAATTCATTCTAATAAGCTAGTAAGCCATTATATCCCTGTCCCCTTTTCTAACACCTTGTGTAGCCTTCTGAATATTTTCTTATTTCCTACAATTGTAAAAACTTCCGTATGATAGGAAACTCAATACATTTTTTTTACAACTGGAATACATTCAGAGAGATGGAAATTCTAATTTTCTTAAAAAAGGCTACAGATTCTATTGTATATATTCTTTGAATATTTCAAATTCTCTTGGCTATTTCTAAGTCCCACTTCTGTACTCCATACTCTAGGACAGCCCTCTCCTCTTATTTTCCTGAAATATCTCTCTATTTTGCAAAGCAACAAAGCTTCCCTTATGTTTTTATCTCTTACTGATTTTTAAGAAAATTCTGATTAATTTTAATCAGTAAAATAATTAAATTAAACTAAATTAGGTAAACTTTAATTTTAGATAAATAAAAATGTAAAGAATCATCTAAATTTCAGGAAACTATTATCTTTTTAGGTCCAAGTCTCTTCTGATACTCAATACAAAATGTACGATGTATACAAGAGGAATGTAGGAAGGAACTGATAATCATCCCCCTGGTTCATTCTCCCTTTCCTCGTTTTAATAATAGAATCTCTGTCCCAGGTTTTAGAAGGCAAGGCTGATCAGCAAGAGGTTCCTCTGCAGTTAATTTCTTACCAAAAGAATATACAAACTTGATGTGTGCAACTTCTATCTCATTTTATTCAAATGTATGTGCTTGCCCTTTACTCTTCTCTTCTCCATCCCACATGTTGACCACTGTAAAGAGGACACTCTAGGGAATGACAGAATACATGGTAGAATAAGTATAATAATAATAATATAAACTAATAATAGAGTAAAAATAATGGTAGAATAAATATAAGTCCCTGGACAGTTTCATGGGTTACCTCCTGATGGCTACAAGAAAGAAAATAAATTATCTTATTGGAACTATAGTATTTGGGGGTTTCTCTGTTACAGTGGCTTAGCCTACACCCTAATAGTTTTAAATTCGGTACCAGAATATTATGGACTAAGTTGTAGGCCCCCAAAATTTATAAGTTGAAGCCCAAAGCCCCAATGTAACTATATTGGAAGATAGGGCCTTTCAGGAGATAATTAAGGTTAAATGAAGTCATAGAGAGGGGCCCTAATCTCATAAGACTGGTGTCCTTGTAAGAGAACACCAGAACACACAGGGAGACATTAGGGGCACAAGTGCCTAGACCAATGGCCATGTAAGGACACAGCAAGAAGGGAGCCATCTGCAAGCCAAGGAGAGAGGCCTCAGGAGAAACTGATGTCCTTATAAGAGAACACTGGAACACACAGGGAGACATTAGGGGCACAAGTGCCTAGTGTAAGGACACAGCAAGAAGGGAGCCATCAGCAAGCCAAGGAGAGAGGCCTCAGGAGAAATCAAACTTGCCAACATTTTGACCTTGAACTTTTGGCCCTTAGAACTGTTAAAAAACAAATTTTGGTTGTTTAAACCACCCAGTCTTTGCTATTTGTTATGCAGCTCTAGCTGACTAATACACAGGAATGGAAAAGTGCCATCATAACAAAAATCTAAAATATGTGGCTCTGGTATTGTGTTGCCAGGCAACCGGCAGGATGGAAACGGATATTGCAGGATGAAAAACTAGAGACCCTTGTTATGTTTTGACCAATCACTAGGTAAAACTGACACCAGCAACAATTTGAAAGGCAGACTAGCTATGGGGAAAGCACTTAGAACCAGAGTGGTCAATGTATATTGGCGGCTCCTTGCTGATGTTTTTAGTGAGGTACTATCAAAGTAGTTGCTGTAAGGTCAAAAAATAAAATGTTTGCAAGTAGATAACACCAATCTCTGAAGTATAGTTGCTTCTGCATTCCAGGGAGCAGGAGATGTGACTATTATTCAGTTTTGTTCAATAGTCACCACTGTGGCTGGGCACGGAGGCTCACGCCTGTAATCTCAGCACTTTAGGACGCTGAGACGGGTGGATCACCAAAGGTCGGGAGTTTGAGATCAACCTGGCCAACATGGTGAAACCCTGTCTTTACTAAAAAATACAAAAATTAGCCAGGGTAGTGGTGGAAGCCTGTAATCTCAGTTACTCAGGAGGCTGAGGCAAGAAAATTGCTTGAACCGGGAGGCAGGGGTTGCAGTGAGCCAAGATTGCGCCATTGCATTCCAGCCTGAGCAACAGAGCAAGACTCCGTCTCAAACAAACAAACAAACAAACAAACAAAGTCTCCATTGTGTTCTGGGCAGACAATGGGAGTCATTTCGGCAGAAAAGACCAGATGAAGAATGTTGCATCACCACTTAAACTCATTGTTGGAGAAGACTTCAAGGTGGCTGCCATTAATTTGAGGGACAGAGGTATGGGGCAAGCACAGTGACTAATAAATAACACATTGCTGGCTTAAAGAACTATAACTAGAGCAGCTCTTTGGCTGTGGCTACTTTCACATGAACTGACTGAAAGCAAATGAAACGGAAATCTCTAGTGTTTTTGATAAAATGATGTCACCAATGCTATGATGACCCTTAAGATGTCAGATGAACTTCCTCCTCCCAAAATTCAGAGAAAATCACCATGAATTCAGTTCAGATGCTGAGACTGATAATGCCACACACACAAGAAATGGGTATAAAAAGGTTTATTACTCACATACTGAGACTTTCCAGGGAGATAGGGCAGGCTCCCAAAAGGGTCGAGAAACGGCTTAATTGGTTTGGCTTTTATCCGTCTTAGAGTGTGAGGCTGGGATGAAGCTTCCTGCATGTATGCCGGGGCTTGTGTGATTTGAACTTCCTGCTGGGGCCAAAGGAGGAGGCACCCATGCTTCCATCAGCTTGCCCAGATGTGCAACATAAGGGGAAAGGGAAAGGTGAGGCTTCAAAGATGTCAGCAATCAACATTAAAAATGGCATTGAAGTCTTTATTACAGTCAAATGAACTAAAACCCTGGCCTATAAAAGCCTATGTTTTTCAGTCTCTAAGGCAATCTAGGTCTAAAAATCTCACCAGCAAGCAGGGGCTGCAAAATCTGTGATGCCCTCCAAAGTTTCAGACGGAGCCACAGAAGCTGATGAGCAAGACTTTCCTAGAGGTCAAACCAGGGACCACAGAAGACAAGGGACAAGGGAGTTTCTCCCAGATAGCAGATTCATGGTTTCACTAAGGAACTCGCTTTCTGCTGGGGCAAGGGATCTCCATCATGCCTGCTCAGCAGATTATCATGGCATGGGCTGCTATCATTTTTGTCTTTAATTCTGATATTAACTACCCTCTTTTTAGCTTTAGTAATAGAACCCTTTTCCTGGAGTTTTAGTAGGGCACATGTCCATCTAGTTAGAGGCACGTCCCAGCCTTTCTTGAAGCTAGGTATAGCTATGTAGTAAGTATTCATGAAGGGACTGTGGGCAGAAGTGATGGGTATAATTTCCTAAAAAGGAAATAGCTTGCTCCCAACTTCCTCTTTTTTCACAGGCTAGGAAGTCTTGAGCCAGCTTTGACCATGGAAAGAACAATACCCTTGGGTATTGAGAGAACTAACAAGGTAGATGAATCCTAGATCCCTTGAATACCTTGTGAAACGAAGCTACTTCCGGACTGCTATGTGAGAAAAAAATAAATTACTACCTTACATGAGCCATCATTATTTTGGGGTCTCTTTGTTACAGCAGTTTAGATCATTTTCTGATTTATACAAAAAGAGGATTAAAACATTAAGAAGGTAAGCTTATTTACCTTTCATGAACCTAAAATGTCCTCTGCTTGTTCCTTTGGGTTTTACCTTTAACAAGTATAAATAAGGTGCCTCAAATTTAATTGGCTGTAAGCAAGTAAGACCTTAAGACTACGTGTGACCTTATGAATTCAGTGTGCTTCTCCCCTTTTCCAAAAATCAACCTACAGAATACAGTTGCATATACTTTTTTGGCATAAAGGGAAGCGTTTAATGTAAATGTATATCAAACTGAAAAATGAAAACTAAGATTGATATATATCAACTTCCCCTTTTTTCAACACAAATGTATATCCATGCACTATTTTACTCTACTCTGTAATCAATCAATCATAGACAACTGGATAAAGATAAAATGGATAAAGCAGACTTCATCTCCCATAATGTGATGCAGAGATGATTTCTTGGACTTCCAGTTTCGTGTTACTCTATGCTTCAGAATAGTTCACTGTGTTGCTAAGACAACAAGGATGCTGCAACCGGAAACTGGGATTGAAGTCAAGGCACTGGAGCTGCCTCAAAAGATGTCATAAATAGCGTATTCAAGGCCTTTTTCACAGTGAAACTGTAACTTTTGGATTAGAAAAAAAAATTACTAGAGCCAAGCATGGTGGTGCACATCAGTGACCCCAGATACTTGGGAGGCTGAGACAGGAGGATTGCTTGAGCCCAGGAGCTTGAGGCTGCAGTGCGCTATGATCGCACCTGTGAGTAGCTACTGCACTCCATCCTGGGCAACACAGCAAGACCCCCATCTGTTAAAAAACAAAACACAAAAATAAACAGAAGATTATACTCAATTCAACACCTTTCCACAGACTATGATTTTCAGTTACTCACATTCTAAGATTAAGAAAACACTGGCCTATAATCCCAGCACTTTGGGAGGCCAAGGTGGGCAGATCACAAGGTCAGGAGATCTAGACCATTCTGGCCAACATGGTGAAACCCCATCTTTACTAAAATACAAAAAATTAACCAGGTGTGGTGGTGCATGCCTGTAGTCCCAGTTACTTGGGAGGCTGAGGCAGGGGAATGACTTGAACCTAGGAGGCAGAGATTGCAGTGAGCCAAGATCGCGCCACTGCACTCCAGCCTGGCGACAGAGCGAGACACCATCTCAAAAAAAAAAAAAAAAAGAAAAAAGAAAAAAAAAGAAAAAAAGAAAACATTGGTATGTGGACTAAAAGTCAGGAAACCATCATTCCATATATATATTTTACAGCCCCATGGAAATAACTGAGGGGAACTTGTCTACATTCCAGTTTACCTTTATTCTAATAGAAGCATGTCTGAAGAGTATCACAAGAAAACAAAACGAAATTATGTTGTCAGTTGTTCCTCCACTAATGATGTACATCTCACCTAAACAAAGGTTTGATTCTGTGTAGTAAGTAGGTTTGATGTTCACTGAGACCTGCGATTTGATACTTGGAATTTGAGTTTATAAACAGATACAAAGAAATATGGTCTTCTCAATAAACTTTTGATAAAGGCACAGAAAGCTCATCAGTAGCAATGATGTGAGCTGGGTTGCATCTCCAGGTTTGTCCAAGCAAACTGAACAATGGCAGCAATCCTCCTGTTTTAATATTCATAACATCAAGGCAAGGACAAAGAAAAAAAAAAACAAAATGCTTGAACTGATTTTGATGTTTGTTTCCGACCTACAAAAAAAAAAAAAAAGAAAACAGCATTTCACTAAGCTGAAGAGTGTCCTTCACATCGTGTATATTGTATTGCACATAAATTTTTAAAAATCCATCAAAAACAACAAGAACAGATGAATAAAGAAGCCCAGTGCTTTTTGAGATAGAAACCTTCTTCAGAATCACCTCCCTCTCTTAAGAAGTTATCTGGTGAAAAATAATGGTTAGGCAAAGGCAGGTGTTGGAGGATGTTTTCCCAATCTTTTAGAATGTCTTGCTTAAGAGACACAGAGGTGACTGGAGACTGAGTTACCAGTGTACTATTCGTTTTCCAAGCAGACGTCAAAAGATACTCTTTAATAGTGGAAACTGAGGGTTACACAGTAAGGTTCAGACTTCAGCAGGAATCCTTGTTGTCAAGTAAAAGTTTAACCTAGCAGAAGCAAATGAAACCCAGATGTCCTCACCTTTTCTTTTTTTTAAACCCTGGTGTTCTAAGCATAAAAAAGGAAATAGAAAATAACACAGATCACTCTATTTTAATATTTTTAAGTAGCATAAATCATAATGGTTTGTATACTACACTGTACAAATAATATACTGTTACTTTCGAAAGAAAATGAACTTCTTATAGGGTTTTCTGAAATAGTTACTCCATACAGCTAAGAGCTTGACCCTTTAGCCACTGCTACAGCAGATGGAATACAAGCTTTGAGGTTCTAAGTCTTCCAGTTGTGCCTGTTTCTGTTGCCACTGAGGGATGAGCCTCTCAGAGCCCTGTCGTGGCCCTGTCCATCTCCTGCGCCAGGAAACACGGGTTCCGCAGGTGGACGCGTGCCGATGAGTACAGCTTCTGTGCTTTGCTTTCCACAAGCCTCCTCCCCCTTTAAGAGAACTTGCGCTTCTTCATGGCTTCCGCCTTGACCGCCAAGCTCTTGGCACAGATGGTCAGGACCACAATGAGAACGCCCACCACAAATGTCACCAGGGGCCAGAGGAAGCAATGCAGGAGGACAATCTCATCATGAGTGCGATGCAGAAGCACGTCGTCTGGTCTGCAAGATAACGGAGAATAAGAAAAAAAGGGCAGTCAAATGCCTTGGCACTGGAAAACTCTTTACAACCTAAAGCCAAATTTGCTTTCCAGCCCATAGGGAATAACCATTACTGAAAGTAAAGGCTGCCCTCTGACTATAAACACTGTATTTTTGTGCTTCAAACCCATTACAGAAAGTTTTGAGCTCTTGAGTCACGTAATTGGTGCAAATTTACACATTAATTATAATATAATTTACATGTTACAAAACGTCAAAAGTGTATTTCTTATGCTATGATTTTCCTTCATTCTAAGTTACTTAATGTATTCTACTTTCTCATTCATCCTCTGATGTCCACTGGTCAAGGAGTTCGAATCAGTCAAAAAATTAATGATGGGTGAGCATTCTCCAATACATCAGAACTAGACCTTAGCTCACAGGTGTGGCCCCAGTGATCTTAATTCAGAAAAAAAAAAAAAAAAAGGCCAGTTAAAGCCACTGCTTGAATTCAGTCAGAAAGACAGCTGGTGTCACTGTCAGGGCAACTTGGCTTCACGATGTAAACTAGAGGTTTTTATTAATAAGCAGACAATGGCTGAATGAATGCCTTTTCCCATGCTTCTGGGTGAAATTAGCCATCATTTAAAACACTGACCACTTTCTTGATAAATCTCGCGAAGTCCTAGCAATAGATTTCTGTCTTGTCAATGTGAGGCTCTATTTTCCAATTCCTGCATTGGTCCCATTCACAGAAAGTGAAGATGAGATGTGCTCCACAAGCCATGATCTCTAATCTTTGGCCATTAGAAAGAGATCCTGGAAGAAATTTTATTTTATTTTTTTGAGATGGAGTCTCGTTCTCTCACCCAGGCTGGAGTGCAGTGGCGCCATCTCAGTTAACTGCAATCTCTGCCTCAGCCTCCTGAGTAGCTGGGACTGCCGGCGCCCACCACCATGCCTGGCTAATTTTTTTTTGCATTTTTAGTAGAGACAGGGTTTCACCGTGTTAGCCAGAATGGTCTAGATATCCTGACCTCATGATCCGCCAGCCTTGGCCTCCCAAAGCACTGGGATTACAGGCGTGAGCCACCGCACCTGGCAGGAATTTAACTTTTTAATACAAGAGGTTTACATTTTGTAAGACATTTCCATTTCATCCACAAGGTTTGCCGTGTTACACTAGAGTAGCTATGTTTCCTCCAGAAAAAAATGAAAATAATGCAGAATAATGAGTCCAACTGCCCTTAAGAACATCAAAGCCTTCAGAGCACAAGAATAGTGCATCTAACACAGAAATACATTCCTGAAAATCACTCATTAGTCACAGCTCTCATCATTCAGAACCCGTTTTCCCTGAAGATTGACAAAGGGCATTGAATATTTCTTTTTACTTATAGTGGAGCTATCATGTGCCATTAACATAAATAGTTTTACAGACTGGCTTTGAAATTACAAAATCCTTGCATTTTTTCCTTTGATGCACAGTGTAATTTCAAATTTTGCACATAATACAAGATTTCTATTGATGTTTTATTTCATAGTATTTCAATTAAAATTTATATTAAGTAAATGCAGAGTCATTTTAACAATTAGGCAACAATCATCCCAGCTTTCAGAAACTGTGCCTTTTTTTGGAATTCCTATAGCATTAAATTATCTCCAAGACTTGTGCTACCATTAGTATATGTGTATATATTGATGTATATATTCTTTTCTTCTGTAAGGCCCATTAGGGCTATGACATTGTCATTGCTGCTATTCTACAAATAGATGTTACTTGCAGCCTTATTATCCATGAAAATTTTCAAGAAACTTCATGATTGAAGTCTAAAAAAGTCAAAGCTGAGGTCTAAAGAGTCAGGACACAGGATAGCCAGAATCATATTTAAGAGTCTGAAACCCCCATCCCAGCACTGCCATGATTCTTTTCCCAGGTACAGTGCTCATAGCTGTCAGAAACCTCTCCCTAAGTGTGTGAGGGAAGGTAAAAGCTGTCTCTCAGGATGCTCTTTCCTTCTTTCTGTGGACTGTTATGATCCTCCATAATCCACTGATACAAAAATGAGTCTTAAATTCTTCATCAAAATGGCTAAGGGTGCACAAGAATGTGAATTTTACTTAGTATCACTGAAGTGTACATTTTAAAATGGTTAAGATGGCTGGGCACAGTGGCTCATGCCTGTAATCACAGCACTTTGGGAGACAGACGTAGGCAGACTGCTTGAGACCAGGAGTTCAAGACCAACCTGGGCAACATAGCGAAATCCTGTCTCTACAAAAAACTACATGCCTGTAGACCTAGGTACTTGGGAGGCTGAAGTGGGAGGATCTCTTGAGCTCAGGAGGTCGAGGCTGCAGTGAGCCATGATCAAGCCACTGCACTCCAGCTTGGGTGAAGAGTGAGACCCTGCCTCCAAAAGAAAAAAAAAAATGGTTATGGTGTTAAAAAAAAGAACTTGGATTTTTTAAAACATTATTTTAATAAATGTGCATGTAATTTCCATAAGTAATATGTTTTTGCAACTAATTTTCTAGTAAAATACTTCAGCGTGGATCCTCGTTTGTATTCATACTCCAGTCATTCTTAACTGATGTTGAATGCTTTCACAATATTGTGCAATTGAGCCAGAAAAATAGCCCAGATGACAGTGGTGGGAATCATACATATTTTCTGAAACACAGTTTGAAGAACATGTACCAAAAAAGAATGTGAGTAAAAAGAAGAGGAGGAGAGAAAAATAATAACTGGAAAATGCTGGACCCAGATATTTGTTTTATTCAGAAACTTCTTGGCATTCTACCTCCTACCAGAGTGCTTGGAGTAAAACCTTAATATCTTAAGTGACAAAACGACATCAGTCCCTCTGAGTTAGCCATCCTGAATTTGTAATCCCTTCAAAAGTGTTCTTTGAGGTGGAAATGTTAAATATAAATGTAGACATTTCTTTAAAAATAATTCATGTCTGTTTCTACTTCCTACAGCTCTAAGGTACCCCATAATCTCCTTCAACAGGAAAAACATTTAACTGCACAGTAATGCTCACGCTCATCATTCAGTTTTTTGATTTAGTGAGATTATCTCTAAATTGCTTCTTGTGTTCTAATTAAAGTCTAGCCCGTTCAAACTGGGCTTGTAGTGCCTTCATTGAAGGCACTCCCCTGTCTCAGTTTCCTCCAATTTTATCGGGCAGGCAGTTTTCAGATTGTTTAGCCAAAAACTATTTGCAAAGGGGTTTGGGCTTAGAATTCAATTTGCCATAATTATATGGTAGGGAATGAACTGTAATTTCTTTATAAATAATCACTGTTTGCCACATGTGGCAAACTGGATAAATAGCATCATGAGATCTGACGTCATAAAACCAGGATGGTGACAAGAATATGTAGACAATAAGCAAAAAAGGGGTAACTACTCTATATCTAGGGACTTCAAAAAAGTAAGCAAGAGATTTCTCTTGGAGTATGCAGGAACACTAAGGAAAAGCACTTTTAAGCCCTGGGTCAGGGCTACAAAAGAAGAGGAAATACTGTGGGCACCCACAGAAAAACTTCCCTAAGCATTGGCACTACCCTTGAGTCAGGGTTTGAAAATATGTGGTGATAATAATGACAGTCAGCATTTATTACGTGCTTTCTACCCTCCAGGTGCTGTGGTAGGACATTCAGACTCATTTGATCCTTCAAATGACCCTTTGCTCAAGTAATTTTTAATTTTCATTTTATAATGGAAGAAACTGAGGTAAAGAAAGATTGGTTTCCCCAGGATTATTTAAAATAACGACACGATTTGAAACCCTGTCTGTAAGATTTTTAAAATTGTACTATTTATTTACCCTTAAGCCAGCTTTTCTCAAATTTGAATCACTTAACAGTGCTTGTTGAAGTGCAGTTTCCTGGTTTTCAACCCTTGATTTACTATAATTAGCATGTGAGTTTGTGGGATCCAGAAATCTGCATTTTGGAGAAGCTCTGGGATAGTTCTTATGTGCACTTCAGTTTAAGAAGCTTGTGTAAAGTTCTAACAGATAAAAAAATGAAATATGAAACGCAATGCTACTTAGTTATTTCTCAAACTGCCTAATTGATACTTATGTTCAAGTCATTTTCTTTTTTTCTTTTTGAGACGGAGTCTTGCTCTGTCATCCAGGCTGGAGTGCAGTGGCGCGATCTCGGCTCACTGCAAGCTCCACCTCCCGGGTTCACGCCATTCTCCTGCCTCAGCCTCCCAAGTAGCTGTGAATACATGCGCCCACCACTACGCCTGGCTAATTTTTTGTATATTTAGTAGAGACGGGATTTCACCGTGTTAGCCAGGATGGTCTCGATCTCCTGACCTCGTGATCCGCCCGTCTCTGCCTCCCAAAGTGCTAGGATTACAGGCATGACCCACTGCACCCAGCCTTTGCAGTATTCTTTTTGTTTTCTGAGACGGAGTCTTGCTCTGTCACCCAGGCTGGACTGCAGGGGTGCGATCTCGGCTCACCTTTGCAGTATTCTTTATGTTGAACTGCTCTGTTATGGGGATCCACTCAGAACTCCAGCATTGGTTACAAGATTATTTTAAGCTGAAGACATTTTAGATTCAACAAGTGCTAAACAAAGCTTTCTTGGATCTTCTCTTATCTGACTAAAAGCAGCAGCTTCTGAGATTTGAGGCTACTGTAAATCCCTTCTCCAGGGGAATTTTGTGGCCCTGAGGAAGACAGAAAGACCACTAATACTCACGAAGAAAAACATCACTAACTTGTCCTCCTAAAAACCAATTTGTCCTTCCCATAGGAAACTTTTCTTCCTCTCCCTCTTCCCTTCTAAGTTAGGTAGACAAGCCCTGAGTCTAAACACTTCTTATGTACTACTGTGAAGCCCTGTGCTCATAAAAATATTAACAGTGATAAAAAGTGTATGCTTTTTCTCTGGTTATCTTTTGTCAGTTTAATTCACAGGCCCCAGCCACTAAACCTGAAAAGGTAAAGGAAAAGTTTTTTGTTTGTTTGTTGTTGTCCCCTATAGTACCATGA